GTTCTCTATTGCGAAAAGGGAATGCATCTACCCAGGTAGATGGGTAGATGCATTCCCGTTTTCTAGCCATCTCTCCATTTTCTATGCACACGGCCATTCCCGTTTTCTACCCAGGTAGATGGGTAGATGCATTCCCGTTTTCTATAGCCATCTCTCCGTTTTCTATAGCCATCTCTCTCTCTCTCTCTCAGGTGCCTCTTTTCGTTTTTGACAGTTTATTTCTTTTTCTTTTCTTTCTTTTTTACTGTTCTCGTACTTTCTTTTTCTTTTCTTTCTTTTCTTTTTGCTCCTTATTTTGCGTTTCTTTCAACAGCAGCTTCGGGAATTGAACGCCCCGTAGTGCGAGCCTCGGCACGGATCCGCCTACCGGTCGGCTGAGGCTCGGACTTTATAGCTGGGCCAAGTACTGGTGGTTTAAAACCCTGGTGTTGGTTGGGCCTGGAATATTTTTGTTATACCCCTAGTGGTACCCGTTCCAAATTTGCAGTATGCCCCTACTGGTAGGGTGCATCTTTTCAGCGCACCTCTAAGCTATGCAGCCTCTCTCTCTCTCTCTCTCTCTCTCTCTCTTACACACACACACACCCACATACATCAGTCGAATGAATCCTGGGCAGACTGTCGGGGTTTAATCTCCTGACGAGTCGGTGAAAGTCCGACGAAAGTCTGTTCACACACACACACACACACACACACACACACACACACACACACACACACACACACACACACAGTCTGGCACAGTCATCCTCTTTTTTGAGTGTATAGCGAATGTGACAACACACACACACACACACACCCTGACATCGCCACAAAAACCAAGTGCTTCAAATCCGAATTTTCGGCGCAAGGGCATGACAGAAAGATGCATGCGCTTACGAGGGCATATTGCGCTGGGACCGGCGAAATGGGACTTGACGTCCAATAAGCGCACTGCAGAAAGCTGCACCCCTTGGTGACAGGGGCATGCAGGAACGTTCCGAAGCCCCAGGGGCACGACAGGGGAAGTGGTCTGTTGGAGGGGTGCAATGCAGAATAATGGAAATTACAGGGCCACCAGTCGACGCCAGAAGAATTTTCCCTTCTTTTTTTTTTTTCCCGTTGCTGTGACCATCACTTTGTGGGTGTGGCAGCCTCTCACTTTCAGTACGACCTATAGATTACATGCGAGGATGTTGTTCACTGAATCTGACGGTCAATGTGGTCAGATGCTAATCTTTTCTGCGTCGTTCCGATTTTGATGGATGTCCCCGATGACCTTTCCTCTTTTTCTCTCTACCGGTTCACCAGACTGCTCTGCTTCTTTGATATCACTTTTGGTATCATCGGTCAGGGGACTCTGCAGAGTGTACAGAGGGTTCGGCCTCCTGATATGCCGGTGGAACCCCCAACTGTCTGCCTACCGCTTACTGGGCAGTTCTGTTTGATGATATATATACTCTATATATATATATATATACAGTGTAATCAGTGAGGGGATTCTGCAGACTGTTGAGGGTTCAGCCTCCTGATGAGTCGGTGAAACTCCGACGAAACAGTTTGTCACAGCCCCTCGTTTGTTGTCCTCTTCTCTCTCTCTGCCTACGGTTTACCGCGAAGTTCTGTTTGTGATGATATATGTATATATATTTATATATATATTGGGCAGTTGATGCTTGTTCAAATAAATTTGTGGTAGAGTCTGTCACAGCCCCAGCCCCTCGATTATTGTCCCTCTTCTCCCTCTTTGCCAACGGTTTAGCGGGCAGTTCTGGGGTTGAAGATATAGAACGCTGTGCGGCTATATACATTTGTCGAGCAGTTGTTGATGCTCGCACAATTAAATTTGAGATCGAGTCTGTCACAGCCCCTCTGTTTTCGTCTCCTCCTCTGCTGATGGCTTACTGGCAGGTGTGTTTGATGGTTTATATACTCTTTGACTATATGCACTTGTTTGTTGGGCAGTAGCCGTAACTGGGATTGACGTGGACTATCAGTTTCAGTATCATCGGTTGGGAACTCCGCAGACTGTACAGTGTACAGTGTTCAGCCTCCTGACGAGTCGTCGTTAAGCGACTCGGATGAAAGAGTGGAGTCTGTCACAGCCCCTCGTTTGTTGTCCTTGTCCTTGCCCCTCTCCTCTTGTTGTCCTCTGCCTACGGAAAGCCGGGCAGGTTCTTGGGTGAAAGAGTGGAGTCTGTCACAGCCCCTCGTTTGTTGTCCTCGTCCTTGGTCCCTCTCGTCTTGTGCCTCTCTGCCTATCGATAACCGGGCAGTTCTGTTTGGTTATATAAGATAAAAAATGAATTGATTTTTTTCTTGTTTGTTTTCGTGTTTGTGCTCCGACATATATCAGCCTCCTGATGAGTCGGTGAAACTCCGACGAAACAGTTTGTCACAGCCCCTCGTTTGTTGTCCTCTTCTCTCTCTCTGCCTACGGTTTTACCGGACAGTTCTGTTTGTGACGATATATTGTGATATACATACCGGGCAGTTCTATTTGACGATATATATATATATATATTTGTGACGATATATATATATATCGTCACAAATAGAACTGCCCGGTAAACCGTAGGCAGAGAGAGAGAAGAGGACAACAAACGAGGGGCTGTGACAAACTGTTTCGTCGGAGTTTCACCGACTCATCAGGAGGCTGAACCCTCAACAGTCTGCAGAATCCCCTCACTGATTACACTGTAAATGATAATCTACCTTAACCAAAATCAAAGTAGACTATCACTCACCCACACCAGATGGAAACTCTACAGACTATATATATATATATATATATATATACAAGACGTAGTATATATCGTCACAAATAGAACTGCCCGGTAAACCGTAGGCAGAGAGAGAGAAGAGGACAACAAATGAGGGGCTGTGACAAACTGTTTCGTCAGAGTTTCACCGACTCATCAGGAGGCTGAACCCTCAACAGTCTGCAGAATCCCCTCACTGATTACACTGTAAATATATATATATATATATCGTCACAAATAGAACTGCCCGGTAAACCGTAGGCAGAGAGAGAGAAGAGGACAACAAACGAGGGGCTGTGACAAACTGTTTCGTCGGAGTTTCACCGACTCATCAGGAGGCTGAACCCTCAACAGTCTGCAGAATCCCCTCACTGATTACACTGTAAATATATATATATATATATATATATAGCCCCTCGTTTGTTGTCGTCTTCTATCTCTCTGCCTACGGTTTACCGGGCAGTTCTGTTTGTGACGATATATATATATATATGCCTTCCTGCTGCTGCTGACTGTCCATGTCGCCGGGTCTTTCCTAATTGCACCGATTTGGTTGATGGCCATGTTGTTTCCGCCAACTATGATCTGATTCTGGATGCTAATCTTCGGCGTCTATTCTATGAGGGCTGTAAACATCGGCTGAATGGGGCAGTGCCGCAGTAGGGGATGTACTTGAGGCACTGGCTGTTGGTATTGACGAGTATATCACTGCATACCTTCGGCCGTCATCACGACAATCCTCCGCTGCTACCCTTGCGCACCAATTGCATCTTTGGCGTGCCGCAGTTTTGCGCCATTGTGAGTCCAATATGACTACTGCAATACCTTTTCGGCAACCCCGCGCGCTGCGACACACACATGTGGCTCTGCGTCAGGTTCAAGATTCCTTTGCGATTGTTCCTGTGGACAAGACATCACATAATTTGGCGATTTGTTGCAAGGACTGGTATCGTTTCCATCTTTCTACTCATCTTGACAGTCCTACATATTCCCGGCCTACGGAAACAGTGGCCGATATTCTGAATCGCCATGCACTTCGGAACAATCATTGGAATTACCCTCATGCTGACACATTGCCGTATCTCTA